GGGCATGTACAGTGTCCTCCACTTCTCATTCAATCCTTCATTCCTATCCAGCTCCGCCCTCCCTTCCAAATATGGGCCTTTCTGTCTAAAAAAAAAAAGAAAGGTCTATGCCAGCTGATACAAGGTAAAAGGTGGGGTACGCTCTGCACAGATCCCTGTCTACATACAACAAAAATAATTGAAAATGAAGAATCACAGGGGGCCTCAAGGTGGCTCTGTGGTTAGCACTGTTGCCTCGCAGCAAGAAGGTCGCTGGTTCGTGTCCCAGTGAGGAAACGTTGTTTCTGCGTGTATTTTGCATGTTCTCCCCGTGCAGCATGGGTTCTCTCCAGGTTCTCCGGCTTCCTCCCACACAGTTCAAAAACATGTTGAGGTTAGGTGATGATTCTAAACTGTCTGTCGGTGTGAATGTGAGTGTGCTTGGTTGTCTGTCTCTAAGTGTGGCCCTGTAATGGACTGGTGACCTGTCCAGGGTGTCCCCTGCCTTAAGTCAGCTGGGATAGGCTCCAGCCTATTGAGGATTAAGCGGTGTATAGATACTGGATCGATGTATAAAGATTCAAAGGCATTCATTTCAAGAGATGTAACCAAATGACATACAATAAATTTGTTGCACAACTTCTTGATTTAAGTTTCTTTACCAAGCATGTTTTCTTCCAACATTGAACAAAGCCTCAAGGGCCAAGGAAAGTTTCCAAACAAATGATGTGCATTTCTCAAAATATTACAGGTATTACTCATTTTTATGAGTCAGCAGCAAATTATAGGTAGCCATCTAAAACACTCATTTCCAGGCTGATTCACAGAAATTCCATCAAGGATTCTGAGAGCTTTTAATCATTAACACCATGAAACTTGCTGAGCATATACTGGCTGATACCATAGCAACCCTAAAATCAAGTTAAAGGATGAATCAGAATCATCTTATGGGCTTTACAAGGTATACATGTAATAGCCACAGCCCAGCAGCAGTAGATGTATAACTGTGGCAGTTGCCCTGGAGGGTCACTGATAGTGCTCAATCTAACCGACCTCATTAAGGAACATGTGTTTTTCACCTTCTCTGTCTCACCCAAGATCTCTGCAGCCCATCGGTGCTTTCATCAGAGGTGATGAAAAAGCACCCTTCTAATCATTTCTTTTTCCACGCACCATGACTGCAGAGTGTGTGCGTGCGCGGAAGCAGGCTGAGATTATTAACGGTTTAATGGCTAACGAAGCCTGACAGGTGCTTCTCTCTGAGATTAAGGACTGGTGGGTTAATGACGGTGAGGGCGAGATTGTCATAACTCACAATAAGACCATTAAAGTGATATTACTGAGAAAGACTTCAGCTGATATGGGCTTAACTTTTCAACAAGGTGGCATTGGGTGGAATGGTTCTGCCATTTTTCATGTTTTGTTTTGTTTTTTCTCTTGCCAGCAGCACAGTAGATGGGCTTGAACTTGTGGAGAATCTCAAGAGGAAACAAGTGATGAACAAAGAAAATCAATGCAGGCTCCTGCTTCTGCATTTACTCATAAAGGACACAGGAAAACTGTCAACACATGTGACCTCAACATCTGTAATCAAAAATTTAGCTTGAGTAAATTAGTATAATCTAGACAATCTACTGCTGAATGGCTTTTAAAGGTTTTACATTTACCATTAAAGTAACAGCACTGTGATGCAGTGGTTACGGTAAACCAGGGAATGAACCCTTAAATATATATATATAAAATATTGATATAATATGTAGTATAATACCAACAATAATTATGTTTGAGGTAACAAAATTAGATGATAATGAAATTAAACCAGATTACAGATTCATTATTATAAAACTAAATGGGAAATCTTGAAAAGGGGCATCTTTCCCCACAGATGGGGGAAATACCCCTACTACCAGTGGGGAGAAGTCCCTGGGGGTAATCTACCCTAACAAGTCACTTTGAGCAATATGACCTTGCTACTTGCAAAAGATTAACGATATTCTCCAATTTTATATGTTACTCTGACTTAACTGCCACATCAATATAGGACAACACATACAGATGGTTTCAGATTTCTCTTTTTTAACTGATTATTGCAAATTAATTCACAGTTGAGGGGCCTAAAGCTGTGACTTTATTATTATTGGTATTTAAATTCATGAAAAAAATAATGTTAAACCAATAGGGGTGTTAAGCCTACATTAGCAAAGAATTCAAGCTACTAGATAATACTGCAGCAAGCTAGTATATCATAGTGTTATCAGTTTAACAAAAAGTCAGCTTGCTAGCCTTTTAGACAGGTAATAAAAACTTGTGACTGCTGGTTAGCTACTATGTTTCTGTACTAGATGATCGTGTACATTATTGATCAGAAATCTAACTTTTAGCAAGGCCAGAGTATTGCAAATTATTAATGTCCGTGGGGAGCTTCTTACCACATATTTGGGGTGTCTTCCCTCAGAAGTCCTACTTTTTACATGTTACAAAAAATGTTTCAGTTATTTTTTGTTCAAACTAACTTTTGTCCAAACAATTTAATGATTCGTAAGGTCACTATTATCTAAAATGTCTGTGTGTGTGTG